ATAGAGGCCGTGCTCACATATAACCTCGTCCCTGCTGACTATAGGAAACCCAGCAGCACTTCTATCGCAGCTGTTCGCTGTCAACGATAAATTCAACTGGACGACACATGCTCTTAGTCATAATTCAAAACTGTTCTTTGTTACCACTGAGAAGCTACAAACATCAAAACAGCAACAAAATGAGCCCGTTAAATAATTCAACAAAGGGTCATGCGATGACTTTGGAAGCGTGTTTGACAGATGCGTTTATGAAATCATTATATGCTTCTTTTGAAAACTCATGGCTTTTTTTATATATTTGGTACAGTAAAGGCTTGTTCACACCGGGACGAATATCGCACGCGATAATCGCCGACATTTAACGCCTCGTGACTAAACAAAGGGCACCAATGTGAGTGTGCACACTGACGCGCAAAACGCGAGGCGTTTTCCTGGCTCGTTTTTTGGGTTTGACGCGGCGCGTTAAAAACTGGCCGACCAATTAGATTGCCGCTTTTGTTTACGTGCCTGGAGCTGCTGAAGTTACAGTAAAACACGACTTGGTGGCACTCAAGCACAAAACGGTCTTGCCGAGCACACATTGATACTAGGGATGGGCGATACCACTTATTTTGTTTTCGATACGATACCGATATTTTTCAAGGCAGTATCGTCGATATCGATACCGATTCGATACTTCTGAACTAAACTTTTAAATTATGAAATGTATTAAATTACTAAGAGTAAAATGGGTAATGATAAGCACTTAACTTTATGTTTAAAACGCATTTTAACATTCAATACGCCTTAATCTTAACTTATTAGGTTATATTTTTGTTTACACATGGTTCAAATATGTTTTTTGTTTACACAGGATTCAAATCTATAAATACTACAGTTGAACTACAGTCACTTTAGTAAAACCATGGTTCATTTTCATTAGGGACTGCCAGTGACAGGCTGTTGCATGCATAAAATGCAACCTTTTTATTCTGACAGTGTATGATTTCTATTAACATTACAGAATAGAACATGATCAATACTATCTTCCAACGTTCAATTTAAATAACTGTAATTGCACAAACTATGTAGGCTACAATTTCAGTTTGTTTATTGTGAAAGAAATATGTCCTTCTGTCCTCTGATAAGCATTGTTCAGGGCTACCGTTCCCAAAAGCTTTAATGATTTCTTATGATACTTTTGGGAAAAGCAGCCCTGTTTGAATGTACTGTCAGAAGTGAATGAACGCCCTCTATGATTGATTAGTTCTGTCTTGCAACATTTGCGTGTCCAGATGAGCAGGAAAATAGTTCTATCCTACACAATTACTCGCTAACAAAGGTTATTCGTCCAATTCAATGCATATTGTACGCATTTTATTATTATTATTTTTAATAAACAAAGTCACTGGTTTTTGTGTGTTTAAAACACACATTAGTATCGATATTTTTTGTTTGAGTAACGATACTTTCGATACTCACGTCAGTATCGATATATCGATACTTTGGATCGATACGCCCATCCCTAATTGATACCTAACGACGAAGAGGAAGTAAGTAGACCAAGAAGATGCATCGAGGCAAGATGAATGTAGAGCTGCTGGTCTCATTGGTGTCTGAACACAAAGAGCTTTATGACAAACGCGACAGCGACTACAAACATCTCGATAAGAGGGAGTTGTTATGGAGAGGAATTGCAGATCAAATAGGATTCGATGTGTACCGGGGTATTTCTGTTTTTCATTAAGCGCCATCTAATATCAGGGAGTGAATTTGCACGTTCACTCGGCTCATCGCCTGCGAAAATCGCTTGGGTATGAACACAAAAGATGCGTCGAAAAATGTCGGCGATAAGCGTGCGTGATCATCGTCCAGGTGTGTACAAGGCTTAACAGGTACTGTTTTGCATCCATAAATGTCATTATAAAAAAAAAAACCCTGTCATTTAAAAAAACAAACAGACAACAAATAATTAAATGATTTAACATTACATTTTAAAAAAAAAATAAAACCTTGAGATTAAAAATCAATACCGATAAACTGATCATTGTCATGTTATGAACAAAAAACTATAAATGGAAATAAATGCTACGTTATAAATGTACAGTATTAATAAAATAATATTAATTTTGGGATTTGTGCATTATTGCAAGATATATACAATATATCAAATATGGACCAATATGATTAATCAAAAATATAATAAAACTTTCTGAATCAGCTGATATTATCCAATTAATATGATATCAACTATTATAGCTTTTATTAATATTTTGAATAAATTTTTCTTTTTGTATGTTTTTGTCTTTTAACATATATCTATATAGTTTTCAGTAATGTTTATTTCAATTTTAGTTATTTTAATACAAGTTGTAATGTCACCCTGGCAACTAGCTGAAATAATTTTTTATATAAATATAATATTTTTAAAAAACTATTTAAGTTAAAGTTTATTTTATTTCAAGTAACACATTTTTTTTATGGTTTTACATTTAGTTTCAGTTTTAGCTCAGTATAATAATCATGATATTATCCAATAACTGATAAAGTACCAATATATTGCACATCCCTAATGACAAGAAGATAGTCTTTACTGATTAAAAAAAATGTTCCGACTTTTAGATCTGATTAGTCATATTTGAAAATAGTGAATACACATGCAAATTAAATTTTGTTAGGCTAAATAACTGACTTGTCATGAGAACAGTTTTTTTTAATCAACTCTGGCTTATATATCTTCCATTTTTAAACTTGTGTTGGCACAGAACTTTACTAGCCGGTTTTCTGCATTCCCATAACTTATTACGCCCCTCTCTTTCTCTGCTCATCTTGTCATCATTTCCTCTCATCCATGCAATCCCCTCCCCATCCCGCTGTTATTCAGCAGTCACTCCATTGTCTTTGCTTTTCTACTATCTGTCATTCTTCTAATATCAAAGGTGAGGCCCTGAGTTTTAGGGTCTCATTCTTCAGAAAAGGGACAGGGGTCCCGTTAATCCACCTCAGCCACCCTCTATCTGATCCCCCCAGGCCCCGAGCAAGACGCCCCCCTCGCAGCCCCCAATCAACACGCACACACACGGAACATCCCCTCACAAAACTCCCCTGCAGTCACTGCTCCTGTCCTCCTCCCATCTTATCAAGTTTCAAGGGATCTGATGTGGACAATACACAGGGCAGAGGCCAACTTTTAAAGGTGTGTGTAAAGTTAGAAAGATCAAAGCGTAAAAAAAAAAAATTATATATATACTGTGGGTGAGGCATGAATTGGATATTCCGGGTTTAATGCAAGTGAACCTCTGTTGATAACAGTTGATTACCACAAAAATCAATTTGATCTCATTTTCCTACTAAAAAAAGATTACAGTGAAGCACTTACAATGGAAGTGCATGGGGGCCAACGTTGGAGGACTTAAAAGCAGACGTGTGAAGCTTATAATTGTATAATTAATGACTATAAATAATCACATATTAATAATTCTGTTAAAATGTGTATTATGTAAACAGTAATGTTGTTCTCGCCATTTTAGAATTTTAGGCATTACTTTGTTACGTCTAAAACCATATTAACAATGTTTGTGTCTTGTGGCTATACTATCTGAATAGTGAGTATTTTAACATTGACAAATTGGCCCCATTATATCTAATATAAGTGCTTCACTGCAACCCAAATTTTTGCTTTTTATAATTAAAGAAAAGGGAATTAAAGTGCTTAACTTGTATTGAACCTGGAATATTACTTTAAACATACAACAAAAAAGCCACCAACAAATTATTTTGGACATCAAATACCAAGAAATATGTCTAAAGCAAATAAAGGCACCACATTGCATGTTTTTTTTGTGGTGTTGAAATAAACTAGTGGTCTGCCAATATTTACCATTTTTTTAATTATCAGCATCGGTCTATAATATTTTTACAGTTTGGCGGTGAAGTGTTGGAAATTGACTTTTATTTTGACACAGGAGTACCCGCTCTCCATTTTCATTACTTTTTGTTTAACAGTTCAGTTTAATAAATTATAAGACAAAATGTTAAACAAAGAAAAATGTTGCTGACTAAATGTATACATACGTTTTTTTCACAGATCTAATAACGTTATTCATTCACATTGATAAATTTTTTAATGAATTATCTCTAATTCATTAATAAAAAAAATTTTTTTACCATTTTTTTATTGCCGCAACTGTTATTTACTGGCATTTTATCTTAAAATTAAATGGTGTGGTATATACTGGTATTATATTGTCCACCCTGCTCTCTAAGATATTAGAATTGACATCAGCCATCAAAATATCCATATTGGTGGACCACTAGAATAAAGTGAAGTAGAACAAGAGATGCTAGTTAGCTAGTCACTGATAACACCAGACAACCGAAACAACAAAACAAACGTCTGGTTGCTGAGTATAAACTGCTCGCAATCTACAGAAAACCAGCTACTCATCCTGCACGCTGAAGCACTTTCAGCACATGAAAAACACCCAACCGTCACCCACAGAAGTCATTTTCACACACTCCAGCAGTCAAAAAAACATCATTAATCATGGCTGAGAGGACCTCCGTGATGGACATTTGGTAAGATCCCACTATTTCCCATCCCCCGCCCATTATGAAGTCTCAGCTGACAACCCCACTTACGCACACTAGTAGGTGGCACGGGAGTTTGATGGTGGACCAACACAAACAGCTCTCCATCTGGTTGAGTTTAAACCCGCAGTATGGGGTTAATAGCCCCGTCAAGCTGTGTCGCTGAAAGCTTAGTCTTAGTCGGATGACGGCGTCAGGCCCATCTTTCTGTCACAGTATGCTAATCTGAGACCGGAGACATATGATTCCACTTAACTAAGGGGGCCGTCTCCACGCTAGGTGTAGGTGTGCGATTAAATCGGTCATCGCCAAAGAGCAATGCTAAAGTGGATTCAATTATTCCTTCAGACACTTGTCCTATAAAAGACAAGATGTAGGTCCCTTTGGGAGGAAATTAATGTTTGAAAGAGGATTAATAGAGCCAGTCCTACCTCGTTTCTGCATGTATGCAAAAAGGTCATCGAGGAACTCCTTCCGTTTTGGGTCGTTGTCCAGTTCGTAAAGCTTTAAGGAAAATTGTGAAGAATGAATTAGTTAATCATTGTAACATCCTTTCGGAAACTTCTTTACGTCAGCTTCTTTTTAGACATAAAGCTACTGTTCTTAAGGCTGAACAAAAGTCCTTGTTTGTTCAATAAAATACAGAACTTCATATTCTAGTATATGCAGTATCAATATAAGGGCTGTCCATTTGTTAATGTATGTGATTAAATAAATATAATACTGTTAATATCATTAAATTGGACCATAAACTTCAAATAAAGTAAATAAAATACCACCTTTACTGGCAATTTATTCATAAATCAAACCAAGATGGCATATTTAATAAAAGTAAAGTCATTTGCACTCACTGCATGGTCTTTATTTAGATATACATAATTGTTCAAAAGTTTGCACTTTTTTAAAAGAAATTAATACTTTTATTCGGCAAAACTGTACTAAAATGATCAAAAATGACAGTAAAGACATTTATAATGTTATGACATTTTTTTTCTGTTCATTAAAACTAACTTTCTAGATATATTAAAAAAAAAACTGAAAAAATGGATTACCGTTTCTACAAAAATATTAATCACAACTGTTTTAAGCACTGATAACAATAAGAAATGTTTCTCTAGAGCATCAAATCAGCATATTAGAATGATTTCTGAAGGATCATGTGACACTGAAGACTGGAGTAATGATGCTGAAAATTCAGTTTGATCAGAGGAACAAATTACATTTTAAAATATATTAAAATAGAAATATATTATATATATATATATATATATATATATATTCACAATATCGCTGTTATTACTGTATTTAATTTAAAAAAAGCTAAAGCTTTGTGAGCATAAAACACATTTAAAAAAAGTTACAGAACTTAATCCTAACTTTTGAACAGTAGTGTACAAATATTCTGTAATGCGTCAGACAAAAATGTTAGAAACCAATAATCATATATAACTCATTTTCTTTCTTTAAAAATGACCTGAATAAGCAAATTAATTGTGATAAAAAAATTGACAGCTCCTAACTATACAAAACGTTTCTTCTACACGCTACTGTAAAGTTAATAACTCAGGAAAACTGTGTTAGTGTGTCACTGACAAAATGTGTAAAGACTAAATGACCATTGCTTAGAAACAATGTTTACCTTGGCAAAGTCTCTGGAGGCCTCTCCTCGGCTTCTCCCAGCCTCGCCTTCCTCGTTCCAACTTGAATTTCCATTCTACAAGAAAAGAGAGAAAAACAATTATCAAAACAACATGACAGGAGAGGATGACTTTGGGGGCCACTGTTTGAAAGGACAGAATAGAAAGTGAGTTATTGGGTGTCGGGAGTCAAGAAGCACAAACAGGCTCCTGACCGCATGTCAGGGAAGCGTTCCTTAACGCTAACCTTTGAACTCCAAGGGTCTTCCTTGTGTGAACATGAAGGGGTACAAAGCTGATGGCTGGGTGACAGTGGACAGAAGCTATAAGGAAAGTACAAATGTACCATATGCAAACTTTTGAACATTTCTGGCTGATGATTATTTTAAAGTTATAACTAAAAAAAACATTTAGTCTAAAAAATATATACTATTTAAAAACTATTTTTTGAAAGCAAACGTCAATTTAGGCATCACAACAATATACAGTTTAAAAAAAAACATTTTTAGATTTGCTAAAGATAAATATGAAATAATTATTAGTGTTTTTAATGATGAATTTTAAATCTAAATATAGAGAAAATGAGAATGAACAATTAAATATTCAATAGTCTGATAAAAAAAATGAAATACATCTAATATCAAAGTGATACCAATAAATTAAAAACAATTATAAAAATTTAAATTCCACAAATTCTAAAAAGAAACAAAAAATGCATTTGAATTAACTATAAAACTATGAATAAATACATATACTAAAGATTACATTAAATTTAATAATCAGTAAAATTAATCAGGGATTTTAAAGAATAACTAAGTGGGGTGTTAGATTATCTAAACGTAACAGAGCAAACAAACATGCAAAAAATATCCAATATTGGCTATTAATGGCTAATATAACCCAATATTAGCTGACATATATCTAATATGGAGCAATAATCATAAATCTAAAATCTCAACTATCAGCCAATAACCAATGTTACCGTTACATTCATATATCTCTAGTATTAAGAAAGATGCCATGTTTGTCAGCTCATATGCTTGAAGGCAATCAGATTTAGCACTGCGTCACCCTTGTTCCCCAGAGGCCGTGACCACAAAACAGTTATAAAATCTAATAGTCCCCCTGTGCACATGCCCTGTGCTTGATTACAAGTTATCCACTGCGGCTCCAGTATTCATTTACACAAAGTCTGAAAGGAAAAGGCAGAGTGGCAATAAAGCAGTTTATAGGACTCATCCACCACCCCACTCTTTAATATGCTAAGTGAATCACAGCTGGGTAAGAGCGCGCTCTACAGCCAGGCCCTCTTCACGTTTACAGCAAACACACACCAGCTGGGCCCGGGAGCGGGAAACCGGCAGGGAATCAACTGCGGTGGGCATCCATGCTGTGTGGCATTGTGATGTGTCAAGTGAATGACCGTCTACAGTCTAACCTTGAGGGAATCTAAAAACAACAAGCACTCGTGTATTGAATTCTACTATAAAAGGATTATGAGAAATCACAGACTTCTACGGTGCACGCGTCAAGTCAAATGGCATCGACATGCGAGCCGAACGCAAAACCTAATCCTACATTTAAGAGCGTGGCCTACAGCTAGGCCCTCTTCACATTTACAGCAAACACACACCAGCTGGGCCCGGGAGCGGGAAACCGGCAGGGAATCAACTGCGGTGGGCATCCATGCTGTGTGGCATTGTGATGTGTCAAGTGAATGACCGTCTACAGTCTAACCTTGAGGGAATCTAAAAACAACAAGCACTCGTGTATTGAATTCCACTATAAAAGGATTATGAGAAATCACAGACTTCTACGGTGCACGCGTCAAGTCAAATGGCATCGACATGCGAGCCGAACGCAAAACCTAATCCTACATTGAAGACATTTACAAGAAATGTGCAAGCTGTTATCAGGCTTACAGGTCAGGCTTTGGCCTTACTAATCATATTAAGGGAGAACTGATTGGCTAGTGGCCAAATTAGCTGAGAAGAGGAAGCAGATGACCATCTGGGTCACCCGAAGGAAATGAAAGCCCCTTCCCCCATATTAATTGGACAGAAACCACTAACCTAGCTGACCATGGCAAATAATTACTTGGGTGGGAGGAACAAACACATGGCTTGTCTAGTGTTTGTCACATCTGAATGTGGCAAATAATGACTTGGGCCGAAAAGATGGACACGATATTCAACTCTACACACCTAAAAATAAAGGTCCCAAAGGAATTTTGTTGCAGTGATACCATAGAATTATTTTTGGCTTCTCTATAAACCTGAGTTAAGAGTTCTTAAAAGAACCATGAACCTTCTAAAAATCTAAAGAACCGTTTTCCACTATAAAGAACCTTTTGTGCAAAGAAAGGGTTTCACAGATGTTGAAGGTTCTTCATGGAAGCCAATAAAGAACCTTTATTAGTATGAGTGTAGCTCATGAAAAACATCTGAATTTAGTGGAAAAAAAATCAATACGGGTGGAAACCACAGCATTAGTCTACTGGATAAGTGATATCCTAACAAATAAGCCCAAACAGAGATCTTCTAATGTGAATACAGTCTACCATTGAGAAACCAGAGACATTAAGTCAACAGGCAGTAATGCTATAACAGGGTGGGCTTCCCAAAGTGCTATCAACACCTAGATGGGATTGTTCATCTGAGATGAAACAGTTACCTCCCCTATCAAGCAGACCTCTTTGGGTGTTAATGCAAATATACCAGAATGCTGATAGGAATGGGTGGTAACTGCATTTTGATAAGTTAGAGATCATGCTGTGTGGAGCAGTTTTGTCTTCAGCACTCACCATGAGTCACTATTCAGTTGAGGCACTTAGGTTGTTTGATTTCTTCTTAAAGGATTATTTTTCCACAGGGTTGGGCAGTATGACTGTATGTAAAGATTCTGCTATACTGTAAAACTGTAGTGCAAATATATCATAATGACAAATAAAATGACAGCCTACTCTTCAAATGGTGCAACAGACCACATTTTCAGCACTTTCAGCTTTGTTAGGAGCAACTTTGTTTTAATGCAACTCATGCATTTAGCATAAATGTAGGTCATTTAGAGTCACTGTAACAATGCAAAACTCATACAATTGATCTGAGGTTTGTTTAAAAACAAACAAACAAACCGAGAAAAAAATAAATAAATAAAAAAAAGGGGACAGAGGCACTCAAACAAAAACTGAACCAAAACAAATGAACATAGAAAAAAAGTGTTTGCCAAAATAAAGAAAAGACAGTTTCTCAAGGTCAAAACAAAACAATATCATTTAAAACAAAAACATACAGACAAAAAAATGCATGAAAAAAAAAAATCAAAGAAATTTCCAAAACAACAACAACAAAAAACAAGAAAAAAGAGACAGAGGCACTCAAGTTCCCAAAATAAAAACAAAATGCAAAATAAAACCAACAAGAAAAACACATTTAAAAAGAATACAACCAAGTACTAAATAAATAAAAAAATAATAAAAAATTGCCATTCCACCGATCTCTATTTTACAATAACCATATTACATAAAGACAAAAACAAATAGATCAAGCAAACTTTCCCTAATTTGGACAAGAGAACTTATGTCCAAGCGCCACACGCCCATTGGATTTTCAACAACACCGCAGCTGCTCCATAGGCAACAGCACTGAACAGCACCATGGGGGATGGCCTGGATCTTTAATCCAAATCAAATAATTAGGTCTCCACTGCCAAAAGTCACAGTCTCACTTATTCGGCTCCTTGCTGTGCCAGGAGAAATAGAGGCTGGAGAGGTGGGGGAGGGAGTAGATTGGGGACTTTTATCCCTGGGAATTTGTAATGGATCCATTAAGAGCAATTCGTGGTTGTATGCCGCACTACGCTAAGTGATCCTTTAAGGTGTGCGGCTGTCCAGTCTCCCACAATAAGAAGTCCATTGTGGGAAAAAGTCAGCAAAATGTGCAGCCTGAACAGCTGTGTACAAGAAAAAAAGTAAAGGTTACTACAAAAGGAGGCGGGGTAAAAATAACAACAACAACACAAAGTATCTTTATTAGGCCTTATTGGTTGACATGGCCCTTTGAACAATACAAATGGCACATAGTTGAGAAGAGCCAAAACACAAAACAGAGACAAAAGGCCCAAAGCCAGGGCCTGTAACTGCTTGTCCAAATCCTTGAACATCCTGCAAAGGCCTGAGGCAGAGTTCACATCCATTATCTTGGTCCTGACTGGGTGCTACATGAGAAAACAGATTGTCTTTCAAACAAATGGACACCGGTGTGAAGATCTCAGTCCACCATGGCTTTGTCTCAGCATCGGAACGTTTGGAAGGAGGACAGACCCCAAAAGCATACCTGTCCTAGGCAGGTTTTCTACTTAATTTAACCATTTTCGAAATGCCAATAATCCCACAAGAATGAGATTTGGGGCCTTTCAGGATTCAGAGCATGATGATATTTGCATGTCCTGTTTATAATAATTTGCCATTCTTGCATTCTGTCTACCTTTTTACAACACATTCATTAATGTAGTCAAACTGGACTAACAGCTGCTGCAGTCCACCTTTATTTTTATTTTTTTTTTAAGTTATTTGAAAACACTTGTAAAGACTACATTTTCCACAAAAACAAAACAAAAACACAAAGAACAAAGAACAATGAAACCAAGAACAAAAACAAACAAAAAACTAACCTAAAACAAAACAAAAAAATCCAACAAAATAAACAAAGAGCTATAAATAAAACAGAAAAGGTGCTAAAATGTACCAAAATTAAATATGTAAATAAATAGATAAATAAATAGTGATGATCAAGTAATACAAATAAAAAATTAAATAAACAGGAATAACAAAACATAAAATAACAATGTTATTGATAGCCCAAAATGTACTTTTAACCAATATTTAAACATGTTTTTATTGTTGACAAAATCTCACTTTCAACCCCTCTGGGTTATGGGTAGGTATGCGTTTTTTAGCACTTGATTTCTTCCTAGGTGTGCTTGAAATTCCACATTCTAGTGACACTGATAAATAGATAATGTGTGATGATAAAGCCCTAAGCTGCTTTTGGTAAAACGAAAGCTGTGAAAACCTCCGGCGAGTCAGGACAGGTTTTGAAGGGGGTTGGGGACAAACATTCTACACTTGTTAAGAGGGATAGGAAATGGACGGACAAATAAGAAAACACCCCTCCCTTCCCCATATACCTTTCTGGTTGATTACCATTCCCCCCTCCATTCCTTGCTTCTGTTACATTTGGTGAAATGGACTAGAAACGGTCACAAATCATAGGACGGCTATGATGAAGACACTCCCTCTATTCTCCCTTTATGCACAGGCCCCTAATGGGAATTCTCACCATTTGAAGAAAAGAAACTCTAATTCCACTTGGAATGTTTCCTTTGGGTGGGGCTGGACAAACTAGACGCAGACGCCAGCCCCTCACCAACCTCACATTCTTGCCTCTGGCCTTTAAAGATTTTTACTATCAAATGCCTCCTATTCAAGGGTTAGAGTTACCACCCGACCAGAGAGTTCACACTGCACTGAAAAACGGGAAGGGCGAAATGGCACCAAAACATGGCTATAAAACATCCATCTGACAGCTTGCAATTCAAATAAACAAAGTTTTATCATGGAATTGGCCTGTCGAGATGATATTCTTAAGAGCAAAGACCAATGCTAATTGAATCTGCGTTGATCTATCGCACAGATGGGCTGCACTTCGAGCTGACGCCAGCGATCAGATCATCATAGGACCCAGGAGGGTCGTCCGACTGAAACTTCTCCATCAAGATGGACCACCAAGCTCTGTCAAAGCTACCAGAGAAAGATTGACAGACCTCGCGAGCACATTAACACCCGTAACGTTCAAGAGAAATAAGCTAATAATATGCACCAGATGTAGTGCTAACATTTGGAACGAACGTACAAGTGTGAGGCCATCGGGTCATTGATAATTTATATGGAAAATCATTCCACTGCGACAGCAAACCCTGATATAATAAGAATTGATTGCTACCGGCTGGATTGTATCGTTGGCGTGGGGGTGAAATGTTGTCAAGGTGATGCTGACAGTTAAATAATGCAAAAGAATTCGACAAACAAGATTGCTCCCGAACCCAAGGACAAATTTCCTGTTGTTCGTTTAGAAACGAGCTCTTTTGGGGGAAGGGAGAACATTAAGAGTGTGCCATCTAAGGCACTTTTGTCATTTTGTTTATTCGTACACATCTCTTTTGCCATAGCAACTGTAAAGAAGACAAGATAATAACGCAATGCATGTTGGGTACACAAGGTTTTCGCAGCCTTAGTAGAACAATTTTTGGATCTCCAAAAACCTTTCAGTGAACAGTTCTTAAAAGAACCATTTTTCCTAAACATCTAAATAACATTTTACACTATAAAGAACCATTTGTGCAATCGAAAGATTCTACACTTTTAAAAATAAAAGTTCTTTATTGGCATCAACAGTTCAATGAAGAACCTTTAACATCCATGGAACCTTTCCATTCCACAAAAGGTTCAATATATTAGAAAAAGGTTCTTTATAGGTTTAAAATGTCCTTCACACTAAGAAAAGTACTTTTCTCTGAAAGGTTCTTTAGGGAACAAAAAATGGTTCTTTTATGGAATCGCTATGAAAACACATTTTTGGAACCTTTATTTTTAATAATGTATGATTCTTCATGGAACCATCGATGCCAAAAAAAGAACTTATTTTTAGGGAGTGTGGCAAAAATGCAATGGTAGGCTTCAAAGTAAGACTTGGAATGAATATTTGGCCCCTAAAATTGCCGCTATATATTTCTCCTGACAAACGCAGAATCAAAGTAGCGGGGTTGTTTCTATTGAACCGATGCCTTTGATATGGTCATCATACTCGCCAAATGGGAGGTCGTAACTCAAGGCACATGCATGCGCCGACGTCAACTGAGACTGATTAAAACTCCATTAATCACCCTAGATTACCATGCCAAGCTCCCTAAAAAGGGCACTGTGTCGGCTACCGCTAAAAATGGTATGTATAAAGGGCGCCGAGCTATCTGGACTGGCCTCAGCCATGTGTTCAATGAAAAGTTTAATGGCGGCCATTTGACCTCTTCATTGACTTGGGAGATGATTTATTGAATTCAACACTAGTAAATCTGAAAAACAAATCAGCAATAACCCAAAACTCAACTTTTCAAGCACAGGAAGTAGAAAAAATGTCCCCTAACCAAACATCCCCATCCATGGGCCTCCCTGAAAAGTCCTTCCCCTTGGAGATTCTAAACAAAGCTGACATGAACTTCCTTTATCTGCAAACAGCCAATTAATTCCCCCCTTCGCTAAGATTATGAGTAAACACTGGCGCCAACTTTACACCCGACTACTGCGCTTTTACCAAAGGAGTTTACTGATTGACTAAGACTTATCCATTTAAAGTGTGAAAAGCTTCAAAAAGACAACCCCCAACCCTCATTTAAAAATGCCATTTGTGGCATCTGTTCTCTTTTGTGTAGTCAGTGCCATCAAACCAGTCTCTTCACATCCCCCCCCCCCTGCAATCTGATACTGTTACCACAGAGAGCATCATTAAATACTAAAGGACAGAAATAAAGACGGGTGGGACCAAAAAAAGAGGGTGGGGTGGGATTGAAGCCCCTCAAGCTGTAAAACCGTGCTTATTAAAGAAGTCTGTTTTTGCTTTTCGTGCATTAAAATTCAACCAAAAATACTAAATAAACATCTAATTAAACAAAAAAGTGAATCAGATTCAGTAATTAAAGTGTATTATTTTTAATAAAATATTATTTCAGTTCCATGCATTAAACCTGGTTGTTTAAATTATTATTTATTTTAATTACAACATTTTATTTTCTCACAAAGCCTGTAAAAAATGGAAAAAGAAATAATACTTTGCATAGAGACAATCACCACATGCAGGAGCAATACTTACTTTTAGAACAATTAAGCACATTTTACCCTTTAATTTTCATTACTATTGCGCATCTGATATTTTACTTTTACTATTTTAATTTTTTTCCAATGATGATTCTCATTAACGCATAAGTAATTCTTTTTTTTATTAATTAATCAGCATAAATTAAAGGCAGTAAAAATTATACCATTATTCATAAATATTTTAATTTAATAATTAAATTTTTTTTTTTACAGTAATAAAGATGACTATCTGTCTATTTATCTATCTATAAATAGTTTTTGTTTTTTTTGTGCCTGACAGTAATGTGAATTAAGGGAGAATTGTGCTTAATTTTTATAGAAATCATGTGAAATATGTTTTGAAATAATGCAAAAAAATATAAATACTTGAAAAACAGGATTTATTTTATTAAAGCAATATGTGACCCTGGAGCAAAAAACTATTTGATACATTGTACAAAAATACATTGTATGGGTCAAAATTATCGATTTTTCTTTTATGCCAAAAATCATTCGGATATTAAGTAAAGATCATGTTCCATGAAGATATTTTGTACATTTCCTACCATAAATAAATCAAAACGTCATTTTTGATTAGTAATATGCATTGCTAAGAACTTCATTTGGACAAATTTAAATGCGATTTTCTCAATATTTAGATTTTTTATTTTTGCACCCTCAGATTCCAGATTTTCAAATAGTTGTATCTCAGCCAAATATTGTCCTATCGGAAAGCTTATTTATTCTACTTTCAGATGATGTATAAATCTCAATTTAAAAAAATTGACCCTTATGACGGTCCAGTGTCACGTATACAACATTCTATTTTTCCTTTTGATTTTGGAGCAACCTGGACATTTTCTTGACAATTTTTTTTGTGAAAATCACCCCCCTACAATACACTCACCATGAAGTGACTCTATAAAGCTCATTCACTACACCCTTCCCTCTTAGTAATGATGTATAAGTCCAACCATCAGCCTTTTCAGAGCACTGAATCTCCCATTGTCTCCAATACACTTGGACAAGCCTATATTTGAAAAGCAGTATACAAGCCCTCAGACCATCACCCTCTATAAATACATATATAATGACATGGGTGTGACGAAAACATCACAGACCTGCCTGTCAACACACAACCTTCCCAAACATCACCATAGTTTTACAGACTTTTGCTTGTTGTTACTGATCTACCGCAAATAACACTGCTTTGAACAGGTTTGATGTCAGTTACCTTCGATAAAACCACGTTGGATGTTTTGCGTAAAAACACACGGTCATAACATCAAAGACAGCAACAATTACGGAATAAAACGGATGCACTGCTAAACGGCGCTTTGGGGGTTTCGATATATATAATGTTGTATTATTCAACAAGTATGGTAAATGGGCTTTGATTAAAGGCATGCAAATGTCAAGGGCTGAAGGAAGCCATAAGAGTGAGAGTATGAAATTAAAGCAATCAATTTTTCTCTTGATTGATCGATCACTCAAGTGCAGCCGAGCAAACAAAGAGCTCAAACCTGAGTAAAAAAAAAATCTTTTGATTTTGGAGTGATTTGGATATTTTCTTGACGTATTTTTGTGAAAATCTCTTGACAAAAATTACACTCTTTATGAAGTGACTCTATAAAGCTCATTCACTAAACCCTTCCCACTTATTAAAGAGCTAGAAGTCCAACCCAATTCTTTTGTACACTTTTGGGAGAACACGTATTCCTGTTGCGCTCGAGAAAACTGGATTAGATGTCCTATTCAGAGCCGATTGCGTTTCAGTAAGTCGAGATGAGTCTGTTTTAGTGGTTTCACAGTTTATGAACATGTAAAGACTCTTTACAATTCATCTCATGAAGTGGCACTCCTCAAATCATGCAGAGATGAATGAAAATATGCCGTGTTGCCGCTTTTGTAGGTCATTGGTGATAAAGTGAGGGTAAACACAATGCCTGCCATACTGAACCCCTTGAGATTAATGACAAGTCATAGAAATATAGACACAAACCTGTTTGAATGAGTCATCCAGGCTCCAATCATTCAGTCCGTTTGGTGTGTTGAACGATTGTTGGGCGGTAAGAGAGTTGTCAGGCTCGTCTTTCACCTTAGTGGTCGGCGACAGGGGATGTTTTTTAGCAGCGGACGGCGATGCGGCGTAGACGGGGAACGGATATGGAGGAACTCCGACAGACGCTTGCTGAAGCGCAAGGCTTTGCTTCCTGAGGAACTCCAAGCCTTCGCTTTCCTCTTCTTCGCTACCGTCTTCTCCATCCATCATTTCATCGTCATCGTCCCCCTCGGACCCTCTTCCTCTGTCCATCTCATCAGCGGCATCTTCCTCGTGTACTTGGTCAGGGCTGGTTTTCATGGGTCCCCTGGCAGCTTGAGGCCCCTGGCCACCTTTCAGCGCTCTGTCTCTGGAGTTATTGCTGTAGAAATCGGGGGTTAATGGGGCACCCTGAGCTCTGGAGGCCATGATGGCTTGCTGTGCAGCCAGCTGCTGGGCATATAGAATGTGGGCTTCCCTGAAGTGTCTCTCCTTGCGCTCCATCTCCAGTTTAGCTTGTTGTTGTCTCTGGAGCTGCTCCATAACCGCCTCCAGTTTGACTCCAGTCGCACTTCCGAAAGCCGCCTGGGAAAATGCACCAGCCAGACCGCTGTCCTGAGACAAGCTGGGCTGGATTGTGAAGGAAAATAAGTAAAATAATTCTGTAAATACATTTTACAAAAAGCTAACTCCATTTTTTTCCACTTTAAAAAAATATTTGTTTTAAGATGAAGTACAGCATATTCCAAAACAGGAGTTCAATATAATTTATAATTAACATTTAAAGGGCTAGTTTGCCCCAAAATGAAAATTCTGTCATCAATTACTCACCCTCAAGTTGTTCCAAACCTGAATGAATTTCTTTCTTCTGCTGAACCTAACAGATATTTTGAAGAATGTGGGCAACCAAACAGTTTTCCTCATATTACAGAGTCAATGGGGACCAGCAACTGTTTACTCACATTATTCAAAATATCATGTTTTGTTGATATTTAGCAAAATAAATCAAATCATACTGGTTTGGAACAATTTCAGGGTGGGTAAATTTCTATAAATAAACATTTGAATAACTAAAATATTTTGAATAACTAAAAGTAACGTTTTTAAACGCTCACGCAACACAACTAAAGTGTAAACAAAACAAACACACTGTTTTTGAGTAACTTGAATTCTTTTAATTCGAACCAACAGGCATTAAAGTTCGAATTAAAGACGCATTATCAAATGATTAAAGGAGGTGGCTGAGGAATTAAAATGGACTTAATTCGAATCAGATAGAAAGAGAACACAAATGCGCGTAAACAAAGAAGCACAAACGACAAGACGGAAGAATTCAAATTTGTTTCATTTCAATTAAAAACAAATACATGTAAGCAAATCATCACAACGGACATGGCCGATTGGAATTCGATTTAATGTCAAGAATTTTTATTCGTATTAACAGTATTTATATGTCCCAAAAGGTTGCATTCCGCGGCTCGCTAATTGCCCAATAGGCCAACCTACCTTTGACCCCCCCACAATAGTCTAGAAAGTAGAACGACCGGATGTCCGGCCAAAACGGCGTGTCGCTTTTCATTTAGTTAAATAATTAATATGTAGCCAAATCCAGTCGATTTATGCTGTTACTATACAACTAATTAAAGCACAGTTTGATAGGTGAGCGCAATAACAGAAGATATTCAGTTCACAGTCGAATCATGGCTGCCCAAAAGTATGGCGCTCTTCCAAAAACAATTAAGCTATTAAAAGAGAGAACGACCACACAACGCAACAAAGTATCGCGTTCTGATGGAAACAAACGGAGATGTGTTGGACTTATCGAATCCGGCGGCACGCGAATTGGAACTTTAACAAATAAACGGCAAGTGTTGTATCATCAAAAACAAATCCTGAAATCATGACGTGTACAATGTGGATGTTCGCTACATATAATAGCTTGACCACTCACACGAAGGTAATTAGAAAGAAGACTGACTCATTGAGTTTATATCAAAAATTCGTAAATGTACATGCAATATTTTATACACTCGAGGTCTGCTGATTAAATATTACAGTAGCTTATCAACTCTTGGACTTGCTTACAGGTTGATTTTTGTTCTTTAAATTTTTTTTAAATGCATGCTGATACTCACCACAATCGCAGACATCTATGCTTTGTCAATGTCAAGCTCCTCAGGTGTAGGGATACCAAGCTCATTGAGGGCAGGCCGCAGCTCTTGAAGAACGTAGGGGTAGATTTCTTTGTGTGGGCCAGCTTTGTCCTGTGTAAATAAATATAATAAATTAAAATAAATAAATGAGTATAATTGAAATTCTAATTCTAACTACAATTTAAAAATAGAAATTCTTAGAAAAATCATGTTAATTAATGCAGCTTCAAGACATGAATTAAATAATGTCACTGTGGACTATTCTGCTATTATCCTGGAGTTTTATTGACCTTGACTGCCTCAAGGATGCGGATGGCACTGGCCAAATCGTTTAGCCTCCGACATGCTCTCAGGGCTGCCTCCAGGATCTTTGGCTCAGGTACCAAGTCATAACCGATCAAAGTGTTCATTCCTGAAGCGAAACAAAGGGGACATGTATTTACTCCACAGTCAGTTGAGTTTTCTTCCTTGATGCAAATGAAAACCAACTTCCTTGTTCCAAAGATTTTTATAGGTAAATGATAAACAGACTGTCATAAATTTTTAAAGAAGTGATACTAACGGATCGAACTAAACCAGCTTTACAGGTTAGCAATAACAAACACTAATAACAAACAGAAACACTATCGTTACGGATGGAAACAGTCGGTCTAATCGTGCGTTATAGATAATATATAATATAGAAACAAATATTGATAAATTTGTAAAAAAAAATGTGTTAAAAGACAATTTATATATTTTATATAATATTTTAAGACAGTTTATATATATATATATATATATATATATATAAACTTTGTATATATTACTTTTTTTTAATTCTTATTACATCAAAATTATTAATATTTATTATTATTATAATATACATTTTCAGAAGGGGACCAAACAACAAACAACATTTCAGGAAATATAATTTACTACAGTACTACATGTACTGTATTCAGATTCAAGAGGATTTTAATTAGAACATATGGCCACTAAAATACATTTTTAAGGGGAAAATTCTCACTTTACAAGCTGCCGATTCAATAACAAGGTCAAAGCGCCGCCGTCACCCACCTTTCCTCAGCTCCCAAGCATCAATGTCTGGCTTACTGAAGTAAGTGACCCAGCGGGCATCAAACTCTTCATCTGTCTCCTGTTTGCCATGGGAATAAGAACGAGCAGCTACTGAAGCTGTGGAAGAGAAAGACCAGAGACAATCAGAAGAGACTTTAAGCAAAAATGATTCTTAGAGAATGACATCCAGACAAACACTTTGACTTTATCACAGCCAAAGTACTTCCGGGAAGTACTGTAGGCGTAAAAGGGCCATAAACTATAAGACTATAATCATTTCATCGGTGTATCAGTGTTGGTCAAAAACACTTAATAGTGCAGTAACGTTTTGCATACAGGTCTTGCTCCAGTTGGACCTGGTCCAGTGCTCTTGTTTGACCGGTACATGGTCCGTTGGGGGAGTATTATTTGAGCTAACGCTTAACTATCTGATAACAATAAGTTCAACTGCTATTCCAAAAATGAGACGGATAACACAAAACATGCAAACCAGATGTTTGCATGTTCATAAAGTGAAGTATACACTGATGACACTTCATTTGCATATGTGGTGTGGGTTTTCACAGAGGTCGGTGCACTGTCATAGAAATCATTCTGGCTGATAGTATTAACTATAGCCACACGCAATATGCATTTATGCGCATTCTTCATAGATGCAACCCTGCGGCGCACGTAGTCACTCGCTTGATGAAGAAACTGCTGCAGAAGAGTATTTGTAAACCCCACAGCCTGATTGAAGAGCTCCCAAAACCCACGTATTTATATACTAGACCCGCTGTTTCAATGAAATGTCAACCTGACAGAAAAATGTGTCCATCTGAGATGCTTTCAGTTTGAGTGTGGCGTTTCCTCCTCGCGCTGGGCCCAAGCCTCACTCTAGTGGGTCATTACAAGGACACTGCGAGAAAACATTCACAAGACTTCATAATAAATGACTGAGAAAACGCGTTAATGATATGGAAATGCTCTTATACAGACGATAACCTCTGAGGGGTATAATCTATCTTGTAAGGCACCGGTGCGGCTTTGGTTAGCTTAAGTGCTAAGCTAAATTCAAGGTGTTTCCGTTAACTCTGTCCCTTGTTGTAGTTTTTCCTATCAGCGGTTCCATAATTAATGGCAAATTGTGTATTTACCTGTATATTGTGGCCGTGACCTTGTTAAACTCCGAGCACCGGAGACTGAGAGTCGAAGGGCGGCTCTGAACATATTGCAGCTCACGCGCAGCTCGGACTGAAGAACGACAGGCTCGCGCTGCGGACGCTTGTTAAGCTAGCCGACCTGCTAACCCGCGACTGGCGTGTGACTGCGCATGCGCAGGGGTTTGGCAATAAAGCCGAGCATGGACTCTGGCTGCTCATGCTGATGTATAGCAAAGGGGGGTTTGTTAAAGAGGATTGTAAAAGAGCACGAAGGACAAAAGATACATTTCTGCACTGTATACAAATTTATACACAGTTATTCTCTATGAGCGGCATCCAGTATGAGCACAGTTATATTTAACTTTCTGTAAATGTTTGATTCAATTATTGCTTAATATATTTAAATTGATATTTAACTATAGATTGCACAAAAACTTCTAAATAAAACAACAAAAACATACGGAAGCTGCAATGTTCTGCATTTATTGCATCCATATCTATTCCAGTAAACACACAAGCAGTTCGCCATCATTTATATGACATTTAGGCCATCATTAGACAATATCAGTACAATATTATGCCATTGTTATCATACACATTTTGATCAGAGTAGCTCAGTTTCATTAGATGTGCACTTTGCAATCGTAGCAATTGATAGGCTATAATGTTATTAGTGTTTGATTTACATCAAAAAAAGTAAATCTTTCGTCTTTTATTGAAAAGTTAAAGAGAAAAATATGTTGTAAAACTGCCATAGTTTTGAGCTTCTAACCCTAAATGTGAATTTCATTTTAAGATAATAGAGCTACAAGCATGTGGTTAGAAAATAGTTGCTCTCACCAGCAGGGGGCAGTATTACATTTATGTATTACATATAAATAATCCATTTAAAGTAACTGAAATTAAATAAAAAATAACGCTTGTATTTCATTATTTTATTTAATTGCCAATGAAAAAAATTCTAATTTAATTTAATTTATCCTGATGTACTAAAGTAACTTAAAAATACAAAAATTTATATCAAAAGAAATTAGTGTATTTGACCATAATTATGAAAATGTATTATATTTTAGGCTATATACTGTATTATTTATCATATTTGACCAAAAATGGAAAACTAATAAAAATGAAAAAAAAAATCAACAACAAAATTACTAAAACTTTAAAAATTAAATTAAAATGGAAAAAATAAAAATATGAATAGAAACTGTCATAGTATCCTAATTACACTAAAATAACACTGATAAAAACAAAAGCACAACAGAAAATATGAAAAACATTGAGCAGGCAAAAAAACAAACAAAAGGGAATGAGTGTGAGAAATAGCCAAAAATAAATCATTTGGATTTATATTTTATTTTGTTATAATTTAATTATTATGAAGTAATACTAAAAAAATCACTTGATCATGCATTTTATCACTCAGATTAAACATTCACATTTACTGCATCCTGATATGGCCAAATTATACGACAGTTAAGCAAGTTATAAATACACACACACACACACACACACGCACAAAACATTTATATGAATTCCTCCCTTTTATAGTAAGACTTTTTCACTGGTTGCAGTGCTGGACTTTTGTCCTGTCCCAGAGCAGCTCTCTTAAGACTGCGAAGATCATGAGAACAAGGACTCGCTGGTCTTTTTTCTGTCTTTCCAGTCCCCTGCGGTCCGTCTGGCCATTTGCTTTCCTCTGAGAGAGCGTTTATTTCGGCTGGAGGCTGGTATCCCGGCTCCTGCGGGTCCAGTGGCTCTTTGGACAGAAGGATACAAATGGAAGGAAGAGTTCTGTGTATGGTCATCTGAAGCGGGCCGCTCTCCTGGCTCTCCCACACCTCAGTCACTGTCCTGTACTGGAGCTTTGACAGCTGGTGTAAACCCTGCACCTTGCGTTTCATTATCTCCGCACAGGTGATGGTTTTGGTCACGGCCCGTCCCGTCCCGCTGAACACGACCTGCGATGCTGGAGCCGTGTGTCCGTCACCTTCAATTCGAGACATGGCAAAACCCAAAAGGTTCCTGATCTTGCTCCCTTCCTTCACGCGCATTTCCAGCACCTCAGATGGCAGTCCTGGGATTGGACATGGGATTGGTTCTCCAGTGGAACGGATCTTCCTGAATCCACCTTGCTTTGGTTTGCTAGAAGATCCAGGAGGGTTTGTGGGATTGAGTTGAGAGGGTTGGACAGATGTGGTGCATTTAGATTGGGTGCTATCATGAAGCTCTCGGCTCGGCATAAACATATTTATAGGTTGTTTTATATGTTCTTGGGGCTGCAGAACTTAGTACCACTTGATAATATTTCCCAGAACTGTGGATTTTTTACCTTCAAGAAGTTGTAATACATTATGTTGCTTTCCAGCATAAAAAAATGCACAGACGTGAGGGAAACCGAATGATCTTAGCTGCTAAATGCTGTGTGATTCCCAAAGCTCTGAACTGAATGACAAGCTGTCATTTACTTTATACTCTCTGGCCGTTGACAGGAAGGAAAGAAAAAAATCTGTTCTGTAAATTGAGCAAATTCATCAAAGCTGAAAGTGCTGAGAATCAGCAATTTCTCAGTCACTACCTTTGAAGCATATTTCAGTCTCCGTGAGAAGGGAGCTGTAACCAAACAAGGCAAAAAGACGATGAGTTTAGAGACAGAACCGCACTTTAAAGCCAACAAGCTTGGTTTGGTCAAAATGAAACATTATTTGAACTTTTATCTCAAGTCAGCATTTATTTTATGGATGCAACCAAGCATAGGATAGCCAAACGTATTCAAAATAAAATAAAATAAAATAAAATAAGACCAATGTATTTAAAAATCCAACTGAAATAAAAAGAAGTAACATAAAATTAGAATAACATTAAAAAAACATGACATATATGAAATGTTATAAATAATATTTAAATATAAATTACACACCAAAAAATAAAATGAACTAAAATTAAAACATTATATACAAATTTAAATTAAACTAAACAAAAATGAAAAATCATATAATAATAATAATAAAATCCAAGTGTATTTAAATATGCACACAAATAAAATACAAAAAGTACAATATGAAATAATAAAAAGCCCAATGTGTTTACAAATCCAATTAAAATAAAATAAAACATTACACACACACATATATATATATATATATATATATATATATATATATATATAATTACACACCAACCAATAAAATAAATATAATTAAATTCAGTTTATATAAAAAATATTCTAATAAAATTAAACAAAATAAATTATTATTATTATTATTATGTCTTTTATAATGATAATAATACAAAAGCCATATAATATAGTATAAAAGCCTAATGTATTTAAATGTACAATTACACACAAATAAAATAAAACAAAACAAAATACAAAAACACTATATGTAATAAACTTTAAATGTAATAAATAAAATATAAAGGATAAATAATAATATGAAAGCCTATTGTATTAAATATACTATTAAATATCAAATAAAATAAAATAAAACAAAATGCAAGACAACTTTATAGAACATGCACAAATGAATGTCAAACTGATTTAGAAAAATCTTTTAGTGATGCATTTACCTTTTTGCTCTTAAGAATTCTCATAGAGTTCCGCTGTAAGCTGAAGTTCTGCACTGCGTTTTACCCTTGATGTCTGGTCATAATCGGAGACCTTTCGCATATTTACTCTTAAGTGGTGCCTGCCACACTCCAGAATGCACTGAAGACCCAATCTGAGGCTTGTGAGGGACACAGAGAGGGAGGGGAGCCTAGAGAGCCTAAGCATCTCTTAAAGGAACAGTCACTGTGTCTAGCAAATGCTCTGTATGTCATTTCATCAACATTTCATCCTGGCAAATGCTTTCCCGAGTCCCCCTTTAAAATTCTCAGTGTTAATGAAGTCCTGTCAATCAGCGCGTGTCTGTGGCTGATTAACATGCATGACTGATTAAGGCTGAGAGTTTAAAAACACATCCTCCCATGCATGACGGCACAATGCAGCCTGGAAACAATGATCCACATAAGCACAGTTGACTTATGCCAGGCATCTGCTTTTGAATATGGCTTTAGGCCAACTTATTAAATTATGAAATTGTGTTTATATATAAAACGTGCATGCTGAATTGAGACAGCACACATAAATGTAGGTCAAGAAACTGCCATTTACCGAGCAGGAGTTGATTGTTGTCCAAAGGTGGCTGTTTCGTCAGGTCTATTTCTGCTTCTTCTCCCACTGTGGCTGCTGAGCGCTCTCAAAGTTTTAGAGCCCCGAGGCTGTGATTTCAATCAGAGAAGAAGGCCATGCGGTTCTGCTTGACAAAATACACAGTCTGTATCCTGAAGGGGAGCATCCAACATTCTAGAGACTGGGGTGACAGAAGGCAAGGCAAGCTTTCTGTTCAATGAGACGAAGAGCACAATTATACACTGTAAAAATGTACTGTAATATGCTTTTTATATGCAGTTCGATTAACGGAAGATAAACGTGATGTTTTAAAGTTCATTATAAGTTGATTTTCCTGCAACCATGGTCAGTATGAACATATAGACAAAGCACAAAAACAAAGCAGCATCAGTAACACAACACTAAATATAATGCCATGAATATTTATTTCATAATATCATATACAACATCAAACACTCCAATGATACACATAACTGACAACAAAAATATAGAAATATAGCTTTAAAAAATATAATATAAATGTGATGGTTCATGCAGGGATGGGTTTCTACATAAATAAAATGCGATTCATAATTTTATATATATGTATATATTAGATAAAATTTGATTTGACAAAAAATATTTATAATATTTTTTACTGCGTAAATATTAATAATTTGAAATTACATCAATTAAAAATAAATACTTATTATAAAGAATTTATTTATGTAAGAAACTATTTTAAGAACACAGCATAGTAAAATTACCTTTCAGAAACCTTTATGCTAAAACTGTAATTTAATATTTATTCAATTATTTAAATAATTATGTTTATTATTTGAAATATATATATATATATATATAGAACTTGATGGTTCTTGCAGGTATGTTTTTCTCTATAATTAATCATATAAAAATAATATATAAAATAATCATTTAAACAATTTCAAACTAACTTAATGTAAAAGATTACATAACATATTTTAAAAGTAAATCTGTTTAATACTTAATAATTTTATATTAAACACTCCAATGTACACAACTGATAACAAAAATAAGAAGAAATATACCTTAAATTAAAAAATAGTTCAACACACATAATTACAAGGTGATTCATAATTCATAATTTAAAAACTATAATTCCAAAATTGTTTTACTGTAAAAGTGTGTT